TGGGAGAAGGGCAACTGCAAGAACGGCGAGAGCTGCCGGTTGCACGGCAGAATTGGCCTTGATCAAGCGGACTGCGATCCGTATGTTGCTGTGTCTTGGCTTCTTGTGTTCCGTTTGTCCAAAGCACCCAAACCACAGAAGCACCCTTTGGATCCCTTTGGCACCCTTTTGGCACTGCAAGGTGATAGAGTCCATCGGTTTCATTCGGGTCCTTCGGCTTCCTGCGGTTTTCCGGGTGAGGTTCCTGCATGCCTACGGGGAGAACTTGGATTCCCAGCTGCAAGAAGGTGCGCTACTCATGCACATCTCACATATAAAGCATCGGAGTATTTGCCTAGCTTTGCTTGAGCAGGGCTGCTCCAGCAGATCATGAACTTTGTAGAGGACTCTGGTGGGCAGGTGGATGCAGGCTCGATGGGCGGGGCTGATGAGAGCGGAAAAGGTCTCAGATGCAACCTTTGACCATGGCCATGTTTTGGGTGCAGAGGCCTCTGATCGGGTGTCTCGAGCGCAGGGCAGATCACATCTCGCTTTGGTCCCGTGAAGCTTCTCGGCGGCATACGCGCAACGGCCTTCGGTGACAGACCCGGACAACCTGCCTCGCTGACACTGTCTGGAGGGTGACCAAGACTTGCTCGGTGGGACTGGATACAAAGTCTGAGGAAAGCTCAACTGGGTGAGCACTTTGATTTGATAGATGCCAGTGGTGGCAAGCCTGGGTCCCAGAGCTTGTGCACGATTCATGTCTGCTAACATTTCATCAAGCTGCTTGCAGATTGGAAAGCCGACTATGTCAGCTTCTCTCGATCTTGTAGACATTGTCCCATTTCAAAAAGGATTCCGCATGCTATCCTTTGAATCCGGGGGAGATGGTCCCGTTCGCTACTTTTACGTTGCAAGGTATTTCGTGCGGCAGATGGGCCATGATGGGCCATTGCCTGAGGCCGGAACACACCGGTTGGGCATGTTGAGTGCTCGATCAAAACTCGATGGTTTGTGGTGAGCCGAATTGCCAAGTTATGAGCCCAGCTCTTCCAGGGCCCCACAGACGAAAATAAAACGCTGCCAGAGCAGTGCAGGATGATCCTGCTGAGAGCCAACATGAGGTCCTGGGCTCGGTCGGGCTCGGTTGGGCTTGGCTGATTTGCTGGATTGCAGAGTCAAGGCAGACTTGTTGAGACTCTGCCAGACTTGGGATCTTGAACAAGATATTTCTCCCGTCAATCATTCACACACGCACGATTTTGTTGTGAAAGCCTTTGCGTCATTGTGACATCTTATCTATGATGGCTCGCTCCCATAGTAGCGGACATCGAAACCTAGCTGGTTCAGGCTCTCGTATCCCAAGCCTTCACTGCCTCAGCAAACGTTGCACAAAGTAGCAAGTCCTCCTCATCGCGTGGCCAGCCGAAGCGCCTCAAGAGCACATCTTCTGGCACCGGCTTTCCAACTTGGCATGTCCAGATGTTCTCCCAGTGAAATGCCGGGCTGTCACACCTAGGGCATTTGACCACTTTGCCGTTGCGCCCTTGAGCGCGAACCCACGGGCTTTGGATGGCCCCCACCGCCAAGCACAAATTGATTGAACTTTGTCCAGCCCACTTGCGCACCAGCTTAAGCCGCTTCTCGCAAAACTCCGGCTCCACTTCCCCCGCCAGCTCATGCCGAGCCGATTGCTGCATCCTACTATACATCAAGCGCCTCCACGAGTCTCTCAAGGCATGCGCTATCCTGCCCCAATCTGCCTCTTGGAGCACTTGCGGCATTCTGAAGCCTTGCTCAAAGAGGTCATGCTTCCACTTCCCCTGCTGCAGGCGCCAGCCCAGCTCCTGCAGCTGATGTCGCAACAGTCTGCCCAGCGTGCCTTCTTCGTGCTGCATGCCCGCTTGTCTCAGCACCTTGTCGCGTCTTGCCATCACTCTGATCTGCCTCAAAAAGGCGGCAGGTTCCAAATGCAGGGCTCCTCCACTGATGATGCATTTGAGGTCATGCAATCCGAACTTCAGCTTCCCAGCCGCTGCCCATATGCCTGCGTTGTGACTTTTGCTCCATGCCGGAGGTGGCAGAGTTTCCAGCCATCCGTACTCGGCCGCCGGTCGGCAGAAAACAAGCATGTCCGTCAGCTTTTCGTTCAAGCCCACCGGCAAGAGGCCTACCCGCTTCGCGACTGCTGCGGCTTTGGCTCTTCTACCCACTGCTCTGCTCCTCTGAAGGGTGTGACTGTCCACCTGCCCCAAGCAAACTCCAAGCACTGCACTTGAAGCTATAGCCACCAAGGGTTTCAATCAGCGGCGTACAGGTCTTGCAACGTGTCACGAGAAAAGCGGCCCTGCGCATTTTAAATGCGCTTCGCCAGGGGACACACTTCCACCTCTCCTCACTCCGTCTCTTCCGTCTCTCTCATTTGAATGTTCACGAGAGCCTAAGGATCCCGAGGCGGGCACGGCGCAGCTCTGGAACGGGTAGCTCCTGGGCATGGGGATGTGTTAGGATCGGTTCCTTGGGGTTTCCATGTCATTTGATTGCCGTTCGGCTTCCATGCCAAAGGAGGCCCACATGTTGGCACGCTCCCGTGTGTCATTCAAGTTATCTTGGTTGATTTGCGGGGCGTTTGGATTCGACACTGTTCTTTGGCAGACAAACACCTGCACGACGATGCCGTCCGGGATAGAACTATGTGTGTAGGCAGAGTCTCACGAATATGTATATATATACACATATCATACGATGCCAAATACAACACGATCCACACATTTTCTTTGGTTTGTGGCGACACTGGTCAAGGGCCAAGTCTGGATCAAGACGAAAAAGAGGTACCGGTTCACAGTCAAGAGTCTTCACACTTGTATCGAGGGCTTGTACTGGAATGTTTGCCAGCGCTTTTGCAATGTCATTGGTACGAGACGTGACCTCGGCGTAGGCAGAAGTTCTGGAAGACGCTCCCCAGGTCGAGGAGGAGTGGGTGACGCACTTTAGTGAGGAGTTCGGGAGCTTAGACAGTAAAACATGGAGCAACGCTGCTGGGTGGGGTACAGCCAGTTCGTTTGAGGGACACTACAGTTGGGCAAGACAACTATTTTTACAACTCCCTCCGGTTATGAGCTTCAAGTTGGCCTCAACCGAACAAGAATCAGCAAGCAGGAGTGGCTGCAGGAGACTTGGGAGGAGAGCCTCCAGGAAGGTGCCTCTTTGGAGGACGATGAGCAACTTGGCAAAGACACAGGCGCTTTACCACTGGCAACACATGAGGTTCCGGTCAAAATATCCCGTGGCCTACGGAGGGACATACAGAACACATATTTTGACTGGGCATACACGCCGCACAAGTGAGCCACGGTCAATATTCACCCTTCAAATTCCCATGTTGCATGGGGACACAACAAATTTGATCTGCTGACTTGGCCTTCCTTTTGGGCTGGACGTCGCCATTTGCCAGCCAAGGAATTATCCAACTGATTACTTGTATTCTGGTTACCCACACCATCCCAGGTATACGCAATCCTTGCAAAGAAGAGTCGAGGAGCCGGGGAAGGGGCTATCCGTGCAAGGTGCCATTGATTCTGCGAGGAGCCAGACTGAAGAAGGGTAGGTCTTCAATTCGCATGCCTCTGTGCTTGTGCATTCAGCAGGAGCTTCGAGAGGAGTTAGCACAAGTCTGTGCGGAGAAGGGCTTGCGGGAGGAGGCGGGCTTGATCGGCGGCTTTGTCTTGATCATTCGGTTTGCCGTTGAATGTGATCAGCCCCCTTGTATTGGCGCTTGCAAAGGTTCGATGTTTGTCCATGTCAGAAAGCAGGCAGGTCTGCGGGGATGGTTTTGTTTCTTCACAATGAATCACCGCTGTGGCTGTCCACCTGGCATTTGTTGTAGGATGTTTCAGGCTCCTGCATCACTCGCGGCATGCTTTGCTGCCGCACATCGTGTTGATTTGGTCATCTAAACATGGAGACCCATGTTGAGCTCCAGCTGACTTAAACTAGACTTTACACAACTGTCGCCTCCATGTTCTCTTATCAGGATCTCTCAGCAGATACTGTATTTGATCTTCCCAGCACAGCAAGAGAACGTGACATAGCAGATGCCGTTGACGGTGCTATGGAGCCAGTTTAGTCGCTTCAGCCAGTCAACACGGTTTGTCAACGTGTATACACTTTTCCCGATGGTAAAAACATGAAGAAGGCCCGCACCAGGCATGTGGCGCTGGCGCTGTCCGATTATTTTACGCCACATTCCTTTCCAGCATTGCAGGACTTGCTGCGGCACAAGAAGGCCTGCACCTTCTGGCGGAAAGGCAACTGTCGCAATGGCGTGCCTCAGCTGACCCTACCTGATGCTTTGGCCGGGTCAAGGCCTGGCATTGCAGGTGGCTGTTGTCTTGCGAGACTGATCAAACATTGAAACACAAGAGAATCCGCACCAGACGCACAAGACATCGTCATGATATGTGTTGTTTGACCTATTCGAGAGTTCATGCCAACAGGTCCATTCTCCACATGCGCTGTGTGGTGCCTTTTCGTGGCTTCCAACGTGCATTCTGAGCTGAATCGGCCATGCACCAAGGAGAGCTGCCCCTACTACCACGAGCCGCTTCGGAACTGATACTGTGGATGTATCAGCGCATTGAAAAGAAGAAATAGATTGGGCGGGCACACGGGCTTCACGCGCCGTCCTTTGCATTGGCAACCGTCCCTTTGCCTTGCATTGGCAACTGTCCGAATTTGGTCTTCGCAGCATTGGCTTGCCGCTTGGCAGGTGGCAGCGCTGCTAGCGGAGATCTCCAGGCAAGTCTGTGGACCGTGGCAAGAGCAGAACAACATGCTTTGGAACTGGGGGGCCCTTGCATATCCTTGCATATCCTTGCACACAGGCTTCTTATGACATGTTTTTGCTCGCATGCGCGAGGTGCTGCCCTCTGGGTGACGACTCCCGGCCGCAGTTTCTATCCCAGGTTTGCTGGGGTCAGGCCCTCAAGGATCTCAGTGACAGCTGCACATCTCATGGGCTGGGTGCCAACAAAATGCGAACACGTGTATGAGGCTTTTTGCGGCAATTGCTGGAGCCACAGCCCTGGCGGCGTGCCTCAGCCACCACGGCCCTCGCCGGAGCGCCAAGACGGAAGATGTGTTGCACCTCCATTGCCCTTGTAAGTGCTGCGTGTGGGCATTGGGAAAGGCTTTGCTCTTTTGACAGACGAGTTAGAGCAGGAAAAGCAGCACATCAGTGCAGTATCTAAGCACTGCTATGATTTAGACACAACAGCACTGGCGAAGCATGGTGAATTCATAAGTGCGATGCTCCAGATGCTCTTTGCGAGCTGTGCCTTGATGTGGCGAACGTTTCTCATCAGCTTTGGTGAAACTTCCAGACTAAGCCCTTGTCAACGTGTGTTCTGACCGCTCTGAGAAGTTCATGCTCCTATTTGCGCTGAAGCGCATGACTCCCAAGCCATGGGCTAACTAATACCCAGCAGGTTTGCACCAACACGGAGCATTATTGATGGCGTGTATGTCTAAAAATATATACAGGTTAATATGAACTAGAGATGAATGTGTTGAACTTGCAGTTTCTCTTCCATAGTGCATAACGCTAGCTTTTTCGACGGTTTCACAATGGAATACGTTGTGATAACACAGACACGAGCTCCTTTCTTGTGAGAATCCGCCAAGTGCTTTGCGGAGTTCAACACTTGTGATCGTTCAATTTGTGGTGATGCATCACAAAGTAGCTGCTCGTGGTTGTACGACGCGTGCGTGGTGGTCTTGTCTTGCGAGGGACGGGCGTGTCACATATATTCGAGCTTGACTTCTATGCTTTGCCGGATCTTGCCGCGACGATCTTGGCCCACATTGCATCATGCACAGCAGTTGCAAGAATAATTCTGGTTGGAAAAGGCGAGAGTCACGGCTTTGACTGTAGTGCTGGAAGGGGCCATGACGTTAGACAGGTGCAGCCATTTCTCTTTGCAATGGCATCTATCGAAGGGCTTCGGGCAAGATTACTGTATGAGGCCTGGAGATAGAGCGGGGCGCAGTTTGTCGCCTTTTGATTTTTATATAGGGTTACGTGTCACTACAACTTCATTTGCGAAATGCATGCGCTTCTGCACAGGCTGTAATAGGCGCTGTCTTTTGCCTTGTTGAGGTTTGTTTAAAAGGCGATCAACAGGAAAAAACTAAGACAGCATTAAGACCTCGCGTTCATACACTCTGAGATACAGCTGTCTCAGTCGTTGGTTTCTTTCTGGGTTCCAACAGTTTGCTGAGCCCCCGCTAGGGAGAAGGAATTGGAGAGGAGGCAGGCGGAATGAACTTGGAGGCTGGGACGTATCCAGCGGATTCGACCATTATCAGGTAAACCAGTTGCAATTGGCGGAGAGGAAGCTACATTATGGCTCAAGTCTCATTTGGCCGCATGAGGGAGAAACTAGGCCTCCAGGTTTAAGTCAGGTTGAGAATTGTGGAGGGATGCAAGCAGACAAATTCCGTGCTTATTCTTCTTTCCTTTTTTTCTTCTTTGCTTTCTTGCTTGCTTTGTGGAGTTGGCGTTGTTTCAGCCTGAGTTTAAGGCCACATGAGTTGCATGACTACTATTATGAGCAGAGGGATCCAGATGCACATTGTATTCCGACAGCAACTCCCTTTCCTCAATGATCTGTTTTTCACATCTGATGGACCTGACATGAGACTTTTCTTTCACTTATGAATAGCCGACATCTAAGCCCAGCTGAACTTAGCTAGGATGCGGATAAGCACACAGCTAGTTGCATGTTCAGCGAGCACCTCATGCGCCGGACATGAACCGCCGCTTCACGGAATGCTGTGACTGGATTGGGGCGAAGCAGGATGCCTGCAGTAGTCGCTTATCATTCATGGCAGAATTTCTGAAAGAGCAAACAGTGCAGAGAGTTTGTAGCACACGCTTGGTTTGGCAGCGAGATGCAAGTTCAGAGTTGAATCGACCACTTTTTGTTTTGGATATTTTCTTGAGTGATGGCGGCCGACCGTTTCACAGGACAGCCTGGGAGAACCAACAGATTCTTGCATATCAAGCCGTTCAGTTTCTGTAGCTGAGGCTTTTTCTCCAACATTTGCACTTGCGGGAGCTATCGCCTAGCCGTGGCCTAGGGGAGCGACAGGCGGCACTTTGCATTCTCCGCCCACGAAGAGTTAAGCTCTTCGCTTGCGACATCAAGCAGTTTGCAAGCAGTTTGTTTTTAGCAACAGCGTGACTGCCGAGGTCTTTAACGCGCCCTTGACCCTTTGGTTTGAGGGCCTTTGCCTTCTGGTCTGGGCGTTGAAGCTGACGAAGACTCCTGCCTGTGAGTGGCCAAGGGCTGCAAGGAGACATTGTACATGTGTGGAGCGCAGCGACTTGATTCCTGTGCAGTCTATGCATATAAGTTTCTTTCTTCTCATGGCAGTGTCCTCACTCGCAGGCGCAACATGCCTGTAGCCAAACATCAAGCAAGTAATTGCTCACTCTGAGACGGAGAAAGCCTCTATGTGTCTTAAATAGTTGGGAATGCATTGTCAGTGATGTCGGTGAGCTTGCCGTTCGCAGTAGATTCTTTGTCTAGATCCTAGCTATACATACTCTTGTGAATGTCGACCAACATCCCATGCAAGCAAGAACCTCAACCAACAGCGCGAGAATGCCAAGATAAACTAAACGGGTTAGTCTGAATGATCAATCTCTGCTGCCACGAAAGATAGACGACTTGAAGCATACTTGACTGAGATGAGCCACGTAGGGGCTTTCTCCTGTTGCAATGACATTGCAGGCAAATAGACTAAGGCCTGCAATTGTCGATATTCAGTAGGGCCTGCATTCAAAGGAACACAGCAGCAAACGGAAGCAGAGGTTGCCAGCAGCGAGCGCTCGATTCACTGATCTCCAGTATGCCACCCAGGAACAAGTTCATTGCCGAGCTCTTTCGCAGCCCGGCGCGCTTCGAGGCAAGGGAATCCAGAGCAAGATGTGCAATTCGTCTGGCCCGCGGGCCCCAAGGCCTTACTCGCATGTTGCCAATTCGCATGTCTTGCCTAGGGAAATCTTCCGGCTAGGCCAAGCACATTGGCCGCTATCCCCTGACGGTGCCACGGCTAGTTCTGCACATCTTCGGCCATGGCAATTGGGAGCACTTCCTTGGCAGCTCGGCTATGAGCTTGCACCGGCTAGCAAAGCTATGGGCAGGACCCGCGGACTTCTTTTCGGGAAGTGCTTAATCCTAGAGCTTCGCCACCTCCAGCTGCACTGGTTGACTGCAGGGGTTGCTCATCTCATGGCGCGCGTGAGCGCCCCACAGGTGCACATCAAAAGCCGCTGAGGCGAAGCTGCATCCACCCGCATTCCCCAAACACAAATCTCGTGGACAATGGCTAAACAACTGTATTTGCGATGTTTTTCCACATGACGGCGGCTGCGCCGCTTTTGGCGGTAGCCCAGCGCTCTTGCTCACAAGCATCCCCGCTACGTCCGCTGTCCGCTGTGTTTTGGGTCCGAAGACACGCAGCGCAGTTGGTTGTTGAAAGACGCAACTCACTGAGATTCCTGAGGAAGCCATTGCTTGTTGCCTCTTCAGACGCTTGTTTGGGGCAACTCATTCCTTTGCCATGACTCCAGGGCCCTCATCCCTGTCCCCTTAGCACCCCAATGCTATTTAACAGTGTTCCAGCGTTGTCGGTTCTGGGCAAGGCACCAGGCGGCTTTGTGATGGACACATCTCCCGAGGAAGGCCTTGCGCATAGAAGCTCCTCCAGAGCCGGACGTATACGTATATACCCACCCACAGGGCGCTCATTGCAGAATAGATCAAATCAGAAGCTAAGCGCTTGAAAACTCACATTGCTTGCCATTCTATGACACAGGCGCCACTTCAATAGCCTACACCACCTGTGACCTCCAGAGTCTTCCAGAACCTTGCAACATTTGTCAAACGGCAAACACCGGGCCACACTGTGTAGCTACGGCCGGGCTCAAGGGGCTTACTGGCCGGGCTCAAGGGGCTTACTGGTCCACTCCCGGTTCACATGAAATTGAAAGGACAGAGGCCCGGTCTCCGTTGCATTGACTCAGGCAACACGACATCGTGGCTTGCTTGCACACAGCCCTTGTGATGCTGGTTTCAAGCTTTGCCTTCTAGTTTGTTTTGCAAAATCTTTGGCACTTGGCACCACCGTTTCATGCAGTTTTTGAACCTTTGACAGCTTTGGCCTGCCATGTGAGTTTTTGTCACCTCCCAGGCTTTTACTCGTCCTTCCAATGCTGGAGGAGCGACCTGGCACAGAACTCGCCACGGCATGTTTGTGTCGAAATGGAGAGGGGAAGGGTTGGCCTCTGTGTCATGCGAAGCCTGGCAAGAGCTGCAGGTCTCTGCTTGGTTGCTTGCCAGAGCTTGACCCCAGCTGCTGAATTCCAACGAAGAGCAATCCTTCGGGCGTTTTAATCCAAGGATGCCTGATGCGTGTTCAAAGCAGTTTATTTGCAGGAGCTCCTTTGCAAAATAGAGTAATGATGGCTGGCTGCTTTGAGCAGAGCCGAGGAAGTACAAAGTGCGATGGCTCGCGACCATAAGCCTGCTGAACGCTGTGGTGGCTGCTCGGATGCTGGTAGCCGGCGGTAGTTTTGGCTTCAACACTTGGCCGTGCATCTCTTTCGATTTCGATCACAGGACAGAATGGAGCCCTCTACCAGGAAAGCTCACTTTGCACAGATTGCCAACTCCGGAGCACCCGCAAATTCTGAGTGCCTATGACGCCGCTGTTGACGCAGCCACACACTTGTCAACAGAGGCATGCACGCCTGGTTGCGGAATGGCGAAAGTAGTGCTAAGACCTGTGTCGTAGGCGATTTGTCTCATCCTGAACTGCCATCGTGCACCATCCCTTTGATGCCCCTCTGCCTGGCTACAGTGGCGTCTGGCCAAACATTCTGGTGGAGTTTCGGAATGACATCAAATTTGTTCTTAGACTTAGGGGCCATTGCAGATTCGGCATTTTGCCACACTGTTGTTTTCTTCATTTGGCTACACCAGGGTTGAAAGCTATGATGAACGCCGGGAAAGTCATGGTGCAGCATGTCGCCTGAGCCTATTGTCAGTCAAGGCAGCGGTTGTGACCATGATCATGAGCGAATGGAGAGCCTTGGCGACAAAGCCGGGTGTCAAGGGATTTGTGGCTTGCACTCCGTTGGCACATTCCTGTGGGAAATCAGCTACAGTTGCAGGATTTTGCGGGGCATTTTGAAGTCACACTGCTTTCCTGAAACATCCGCCAGCTGTGGTCTTGGGCGCCAGCGGCATCGTCTTCCAGTGTATGCTGCTGGCTGTCTTCTCAGGAGAGGGACCTGTTCGATGGTGTACTTGGACTTGCCTTGCGGGTGATGCAGCAGCTGCACAGATGCTTGACACTGATGAGACTCCTTGGTGACTTCAAACATTGTATATAAATTACGCACTGTTTGTTTTGATGACCATAAAGAGCAATATTTGAGGACGTTATCATGCTCCTGGCGACATTCCCATCACGTTCCTACTGGCAGTGGCTCTTCAAGCTGCATTGTGATATGAGGAGCTTGAGCTCTTGCTGTTGCATGCACTTGCTATCAGAAGGGAACATGCGCGCGTTGTTTGTTGCAATCCCACGCATATTCCTGGCCTAGATGGAACTGCCAGTGGTAGTCATGACAGTCAGGCTGTCTACATCGTTCCAGAGGCGTGGTTTGGGGCTGCAACCCTGTGGCTTGCAACCACTTGATCAGTTCAAGAGAGGAAAGGGACACCTCCGAGCTCATCTGAGCCTCAGCAAATGATGTACATTGTGATCATAGCTCGATCCAGGTCCGCGCCTGGGGCACAGATGACGGTGTCTCGCACACCGCCCACCTGGTTGGTGGGATTGTGGGTGCAGCAGCTGCCTTCTGCCGCAGTCCAAGTGTGCTGCGCTATCCACATGCATCATTTGGCCTTTGGTAGAGAAATTACAATTGTTTCACAGAGGCGTAAAATGAAAGGGGCGTCAATGACGCTAGCCGAGTTGGGATTGACTGGTGTTGCCTGATCCTAGGCAGTTCGACAAATGCCTTAAAAGTTTCCTCAGCTCCGAAGAGGTGCCTGCATATTTGCTTCGCCAAGCTAATGGCTGTCATGATTGTTCCATTTCATGATTCATGCCGGAGGAATGCACCCAACATGGATTCATGCAGTCGACGTAGTTTTCACATATTCATTGACCTGAGGTGCCCGAGGCCATGCACGAACTCCAGACGAGGCAGGAGCCATAGCGAAGTCCGATAGAACCATTGCTCGAGAACCCCTCACAGCTATGTGATATATCTCCGCCTCTTCTCTCCTCTTCCGGGTTTTTGGTGCAGCACGTCACGCGGTTGCGGAGTTGTTGCACAGTGAAGGTGCAGCGCAGCCAAGCCCGGATCCCAGGGTTGGGAGGCCAGACATTCTCACTGCCCTGGTGCCACATTGAGATCGCCTGAGGCCAGGATGAGTCAAGCTCCTGCACGCACTCCCGCAGTGCAGATGACCTGGAGAACGTACCCATGAAGAAAACAGTGTTTCAATTGAACGCTGTGAATTCATGTGCGCAGATATGCAAGGCCTCGGACTGCTTGTTGTCAGGCAGAGTTTGAAATGGCATCACTATTGTTTCCAAGGTGGGCCAATTGGGCTTGGAAGGGGCGTCCCAGCTGTGTTGTTCACTGATTCAGCCGGAGCTTTGCCAGAATTCCGTTCCTGCATTCGATGATGTGGTGGCAATCGGTTTGCGCAGGGCCAGCTACAAGCTCGAAAAAGTGGAATGGAGATGTGCATGCTTGCTTCAGTCGCTTTTGACTTTAGTTTGAAAAGAGCTGCCCAGAGCTGCTTGAATATTTGTGCATGTGGGCACGCAAAACGTATTCTTGAATCATTCAAGCTTGCTTAGCTTGGTTTCAGGCATTCCGCTGCTACTCGGCGTTCGTTGGCGGCAGGTGAACCCTCCTGCTCCAATCCCCGTCGAGACGGAAGACTTTGTGGGCAGGTCGCGAGGGAGTGTTGGGAGTTGTTGGCAAATCAAATGAGATTCGGTCAACATAGGCAGCAATCCGGTTCATTTGCCATTTGGGAGGGTCAAGGGGGGGGGGGACTCACTCACAAAATCAGGGCACACTTGGTATGTCCCTTGGCGGAATCGCATTTTTTTGGCTGGTGCTCCAATGGAATCTGGACAGCTTTTGTTGACATTGATTTGAGCGGAGGAACAGGTGATTGGAGATGGCTTTTTTGATGGAATTCAGACAACAGAGCAAGAGCTTCAACAAGTCAATTGCATGGAAATTTAGGTGACCAGCCTTGGCTACCATCAACTTCAACATTTGTGTCATCTATTTGGCTTTTGACTTTGGCCATGTCCATCCTCCGTGAAGTCAGAGTGAAACGACACTCACGGATCTGGTTGATGCAGCAAATCAGCCATCACTGCCCATGGGCCAAAAGCGGGGCACACCTTCAACACATTTTGCCAGGGATCAGCCCATGAGTTTTCAGGAACGTTTGCTCGGTGAAGGGCTGTTACAAGTACTGTTATGCCTTTCTTAGGGCTGGTTTGATTCAGAGGCGTGCTTTAGGCTTAAGGTTTGGCTTGAGGTCCATTGGTTTGGGATAAGTTGAGAGCGGGTTGAGAGTGGGCTTAGACTTGGCAAACAAAGAGCAGGCGCAGGATTGGCATTGGATTGTTTTTGGATAGGCGTTGGGATGGTTCAGGATTGGTTTTAAGTTTTAAGCCGGTACGGATTTATGTTCGTGCTTGAGTATCGGATTTAGGCCAGGGTCAGCTGTAAGTTGGCCAAGAGTCTTAAATATGAAGGGGAGTGCACTGCTGCGCGAGGTTGTCCACCCAGTGTCAAGTGCCACAAACCCTACCCGCAAACCCGCCGTACCCAAGCCACTAAAAGCTGGATGTATTCTGAGCTCACCTTGATCCACCAGACAACCAGCCCCAAACCAACTCTAGCCTATTCAATTTTTCCCTGGCAAGTGACCCCAAGCAGTGGTCAAAGAGTGAGACAGGACTCCATGAAGGCAACATGAAAGTAGCCAATGCAAATGCACTCCTCTATCGAAGGTTTTGCACGTGCTCTTCAAAGAGAAGCCTTCTGAAGCTCCCATAGAAGATCTCCTGTGGAAAGAGGTTCCGCACAAACGTGATATATTTCTGTAGAACTTGCTCTGCAAGATCTTTGTGGAAGGCCCGCGCAAGATCTGTTGAGAGGACCTCTATGCAGCGCAATATATTTGTGGAATGTGTTTGCAGCATCTCTGCGCAAGACGTATGGGTAAGGATCTTTGGGAGGGATCTCCGGGTAAGACTCGCAGGATCCCTGGGAAGACCCTAGCGCCACTCTACAAGACCTCTTGAAAGGAAGTCCTTGCAGCTCCTGGTGGGGAGGATCTGCTGGAAAGGATTTGTTGGCAAGATCTGCGCGCAAGATGTGCGCGCGTGATCTCTGAGCCGAATTTGTTGTAGGATCGAATTTGTTGTAGGATCTCTTGGCGCACGGAATCCTTGAGCGCGGGGATCTTCTCTACGACGGACCCGCGCAAAGAATGTATGGGAGGATCATGACAGGATTATAGCAGGATGGCTGCGCAATATTTTTGGGTAGGGTTTCTTGGCAAGATTTTTGTACAGGGCCCACGACAGGATCATGTATACACGACTTCTCCGTTCAAGTGCTGCAGGGGGCATCCTGTACAAGCTTACTACCCTGTGCGGACTTTGGGCGGGCCGGATCGGTGCACATTTTGAGCCTCGCAAGTCGGACTTTGTCCAGGTCGGAGCGCTCTCGCTATGGCGCGGTGCGCGTTGTGAACATCGGGTCGTACCGCTCGCGCTGTTGCGCGGAGCAAGTTGGCAACATCGAAGCGAACCCCTGCGGACTTTTGGGGGCTCAGATCGTTCTCGCCGTGGCGCGGCGCAAGTTGCAAACGTCGAAGCGCAGGGCCAAATACTCTTACACACATTTTTTGTAGATCCTGGACAGAGAACTTCACCCTGTTGCGCAAATCTTGCCAAGGAATTACATCAAGGGATCCTACCCAGAGATCCCGCACACGCACACACATCTTGCCAAGAAGCTCGCTCGCGCAGAGATCTTGTAAAAATCCTCCCAAGGATCTCCCGCGTTGGTTTTTCATAGGGATGTTCTACAGTGCTCTTGGACAGATTTCCCGCCATTCGATAATCAAAATTCTCACTGCGCAACAGTGAGAGCGACCCGACCAGGATTTATTTTCCATGTTCAGCGTGTGCGCCACGCCACAGCGAGAGCGCTCCGACCCGCCAAGAGGGTGCGCTTTCGACGCCCCAAATTCGCACCCTCAGTCTGTAGAGGGTTCACCAACGAACCATTTCGGAATTCACGCGGCACACTGGCGAGAGCTCACCTTTGCAAGACGCCAGCTTCGTGCCAGCTCTTTCTGCGAGCCTGCGCAGTCGATATGCGCATGAACATCTCACAATAAAACTGTTGAGCGAGCCTGCACAGCCTCAAGGCGCCGCCCAAAGCCCGGCCGAACCCCCAGCCTAAATTGCCCTGAGCAGAACGAGTCAGAATGAGCCAAGCTGAACCCTCCATCCAACCACAAACCCACGCTCAACCATCCTGAGCTTGCACTTTGCGGCTCATAGGCTGCCTTTCTGCTAAGCCAAAAACCAACCCCAAACTGTAAAATCCAGTCCCTAGCCAACCCACAACCAGCTAACAACCAACTCACAACCAAATCACAAGTTCCGCCACCCATATTTTTGCTTGATCCTCAAACGCTGTCATGTTTTTGATCCTGCCCCCCATTCTGCCAGGATGCTGTTCATTCACCGGCCGACCCCTGAGCCAGAAGAATGGCCCTACAAGGACACAGACGCGCCTCGAGTGAACCGACGTTATCACCGTGTGTTTGTTGATTGAGTTTAGGTCCGAAGCACACGCGCCATGGCCGTGACTTTCGGAGCAGGAGCAGTTCCGCGGCAAGCAGAGGAACTTCCAGTTCCGGTTGCAGGGGAAGTTCAAGGCTGAGCCCAGCCAGGACTGCTAGAACGCGGACAGCAGGAGATGCACTTCCCGCGTAGAAGGTTAGTCGAATTTTAACTTGGCTTGCAGCCATCAGCATGGGATTTGTTTAAACCAGGGCAATCACATAAGAGTGGGGCTACAGGAATCCATTAGAGGTCTCGCAATTGGAAGCAACTTGTTTGATTGGTTTTGCATTCCGTGCAGAGGCGTCTCATTGTCGAACTCGTAGGATCTCTTCCTTTCGGCGGAAACTCCGGGAGAGCTCCCCATGGATACAATGCGGAAGAAGGCGGAGTCAAACAGCTGGCTGCACATTGGACTTGAGAAGGCTCTTTTGAAGGGCATGCCACCAGAATTCTCACGCAGCTGTCATTGGCTTCCCTCTTGCCCACTGTATGCGGAGCACATGTCAATATCGTGCAGGGTCGCAATTTATCGGTTCGTGTTGTTTTTGGTCGAGGGGTTGCGGCTTGCACTTAGCACTTGCCATGACAGCTGACAGATGGGTCCATGCATTTCTTCTTCAGAGCTTTCAGCAATTGGCCGTGCCAGCCGTCTCTTCATCATGGCTTGCGCTTGCTGCTCATCCACAGTGAAGCTGATAGCAGGATACAGCAGGGATTGTGCATGTCAGGCGGCCGCAATCGTGTGGGGTGCCTAAGAACAGCTGCTTTGAAGGATAGCAATACCAGAGGGCGCATGGTTCATCTCACCCCGCCCAGCGCGCTTACTCGGCTGGGCTCAAGTCCAACTGCCTCTAATGTTTATCCAGAAATTCGGAACGTGAATGCTGTCCAATGTGCTTTCCTGTTTCCGTACCTGCGATGAGCAAGGCCGTGCATAGCTTGGCGGGGCTAGAACCAGCAAGTTCAAGTTCACTACATTGTGGAGTCTGTATTGGAGACGTGTAGATGATAGGTCATTTAAAAGGAACACCCAATTTAAGTTGAGGTTCCTTGAATGTTCCCATCGGGGCATGTTGTCCGTAAGGATGAAGTTCTGCAGCAAGCTCGTGGGGCTTCGAGGACCGACGGCGCCAGACGCTTCGAACATACATGGGACCACTGCCCCAAATTTGCACGTCTGGTTTGGAGGGTAGGAACGGCGTCCTTTGCCAACATGTTTTCTTCAGTTTGGGAGTTGGACAGCATTTGGCATCTTACGCTTCTGAGATGGCGCTCTCACCATACCATTGTGGGTTGGCTTTTCATGTTCTGTTGCTTCGCAAAAGCTGTCATGCTTTGCATTGCCTCTTGTGTAATTATGTGGGGGCATTTGGGGCGTTGCAGCCCGTCTGTTGCGTCAGCTGTATTGGCATGATGTGCAGGCTAAATAAAACATGTTGGGATGCTTGTTTTTTGTTCTTTGTTTCATTGGCAGCTTGCGCAGCCTGGAACCTCAAGGGAACGCTGACCTGTCCATCCGCTCGGGTCCGCGATGCTTCCGCTGTTGCTGTCACTACTGCCAGTGGCAGACTCTGGAAGCTGCTCTGCCGGCACGGCCTACTTGCAGCTGTAGCTTGGATATGACGGGAACCCCACTACAAGCGAACGAAAGCGATGTCCATCCAATGTCTGCTTATAGTACTTATTGAGAACTTATTTGTATCCAATAGGCTGTTTGGCACATTCTGCTTGAAACGGGGTTGAGACGTTTGAATCTTTTGGTAATGCAGACTTTGGCTCTGATCCTGGCTTGCACAGAGAGAAGTGCTGGACTTTCATGCTGCTGGGAGGGCTCAAGTAATGTTGGACCTTTTTTACCTTGACCCTCCTTGAAACAGTGCCAACATTCATTTGGAGCCTCTTTAGTGGAAAATGGGGGGTTCTGGGTGGGACTTGGGATCGCCAATACTAAAGTTGGCAATGGCAGTTCTATATCCGGCATTGCAAAGATTTGTTCGCAGATTCCACGTATATACTTAATTTAGTACTGCCAATTCTAAATTCTTGCCCAGACGTACCCTTAGATCCCCTGTGCTTAGTTTTTCAGTATTAAAAGTCTATGCTTGGCATTGCCAAGATGTAGTCTCAGATTCCCAGTGCTTGAGGTGGCATTGCTAATTCTAAATCACTATTACCAAAACTTGATCTCAGATTTTGCGGGTTAGCTTGACACAAAGGAAGACCCCGACACAGTGGGATTAAACACAATCCGGGGCTTCTTTGTGCATCCGCCCTTTGTATGTCTTGTTCTTTATATATATATAAGCATATATATATATATATAGAAATACTTTATGTGAAATTTGAGGGCTTTGGGAGAACTTGCAATGAGTTTCCTAGATCTAAGGCCTTCAGCCTCTGGGTTGGACCTAGGACTTAGACGAACCACCCTTTCAAACTAAAGGGCTGGGGCTTTGATATGTTTTTTTTTTTTTTTTTGTATTTTTTGCCTTATTTTTCAGGATTTTGAATCTTGAATAAACAACATGTTCTATAATAGACCAACTATAGAAGCGGGTCCATCACTACTCAACTTGTTTTGGGTGTGCTCTCAAGACTTTCATCCGATGGCTTAAGATGCTCCACCAAATCAGCACCCCTTGCAGCATATGAGGTGTCTCAAAGCATTTCATTTGACATTGATAAGTTTGGAAGTTGTCTGCTAAAGGCACCAGTGGTTGAAGCGCATGCCTCAAGTACTCTGAGTCTGCAGTCGGGGCCTCAGTGACTCACCCAAGGCAAGGCAACGTGCAACGGGCCGTGCAGCTCCGCGCGGGAGAGTTCGAGCCCGTGGACGGTGCAGTTGGCAGGGCTTGCCGTGGCGCCACTAGCACGGACAACCGGCCGTCCTACTTTTCGGCCATCCACGGACGGGGTTTTCGGATTTTTAGAATTTGACATAAAGCATGCTGTCGATGTGAGTCTCAGTGGGCCAGAATGTTGACCAATGCTTTCCGTCTTCGGTTTCCATTCTAAGGCAAAGGCTAGGTAGATGGCCTTGGCTGAAAGCATCCCTGAGGAGTCTCCTCTCTTGAAGCTTGCAAGACAGAGTGCCTCAGTGTGGACACGTGCAAGGCGAGTGGTACAATGTGCATTGGAATGGGCCCGTCATTTTGATTTCTTCCTGTGAGAAATGGTCAATATTTGTTGTCATCTTCTGTAGTAAGGGGATGACATTGGGCACACTCACCAAATCCAATGTCAGCTTGGGACACAATAAGTATATTGGCCGTAGCCCATGTACTTAGCCTGAGACCTTAAGCCTTAAGTTTTCGAGTTTTTAATGCACTGTGCGGCATATGTGTTTGAAGTCTTTCCCTCTTTTCTTTCTTTCTTTCGTGCCTTGATTTTGCCAGGGCATCGAATACAGCACTGGCCGCTGCGAAGTCTGGACACGGCCAGAAGGTGCTGAACATGAAAGTTTTGAGCAGAAGTGGCTACATTGGTCAGACTGAAGTAGGTACCAAGGTAGTCAGACTTGTTGGCATACTGGTATTGGTTTTGTATATCCGGCTGCTCTCTTCGATTGACATGCCGTCGGTCAGTGTGTGGTGTACTTCATTTTCTGCATGGGGTGCAGGATGTGTTGGCTTCTGTGTGAACCTGGCTACACGGACAGGCATCCAAGCTTCACGAGCGCTCGAGGGATACAGCTGCTACCGACTCGTGGACGAGAGCGACTTGGTTAAAGCATTTGCACAGCTGGTCCGGGTGCCAGAGTGGGATGCTGCCATGCATGAATGCCTGACACCTTCCCTTAGCTTTTGGATCTCTTCCATTGCCTGAGGTTCGTCTACGACCACCACTACTCCGTTCCCAGCTGGCGCTTTTGAAGCCGTGCCTCGCCCAGCAAGGCACTACTGTTTGTAAAACTACCAGCATGCTGGATCCAAGGTGAATGGCGGCATTGACCAGGCATGTCGAGGTGGCAACCGTGGGGACAACAAGGCAGGGGGGCGATTCCGAGACATGCCACTTGGTTGGAGTGATTCACGGCACAGGCCAGCCACTACACCGTGCTCTCCATGCCCAACCTTGTCGAATGCCAGGCGGAGTGCTACTCACGAGCAGATTGCAAAGGTGTGGAGGCTCTGGCTAAGACTAGTTGCAGTTGCGGCTTGCGCACTCTTCTTTGTCCATTGGGACCTGTCAGATATTTCTACTGCCAAGGGAAACGTTTCCCTTTCTCACGGAAAGACCTTGACTGCCCACCTTGTGATCCCTCGCCCCTTGCCTCCTGCAGGGCTTGAACTAAAATTACCAAAGGAAACAAATTGGGAGGATGTCCACATGTTTTGTGAAATACCTTTGAGCCCAACTGAGGAGTACAGCAATAGCCGTTGCGAGATCTGGACACGTGCCGAAGGGATCGAGGCCTGGAGAATGAGCTGTTTTTTCCTTTCAAACGGGCGATGCCTGGTTGTTGGCGGTCTAGAAAGGTTATGCCATGCGCGATCTCCTGAAGGCTAATGCATGTTGAAAGATCATCAGAACTTGGACTTTAACAGTTTCCCATTGTCTCAAGGCCTCCTTGACGCTGTCGGGATACCAGTGCTGGCGCAAGACCGGCGGCTGCAGCGCCGTGACCTCCGAGCTAGGCGGGGCTCGGCTAGGGCGTCTTGCATGTGTCTTGGAAACACATGAAGTACCGTCAAAATTACATCTGTTGAGTTTAGTATTCGGTGTTTCATTGATATTGTGACAATGCACAAAACCATGGCAAACGATAGGGGACTCTCAAAAAAACGATACCCCTGGAAGAGGATGGAAACGCTGGAAAACGATAGGGGGCTCTCAAACTAAGTAGCGAAACGGCCGCAAGTAAGTAATTTCGACCGTGCCTCACATAATTTTGCGAGACCCAAGACATCAATGAGTGCTGCGAGCAGAATGTTTGATTGGTAGAGGGATTTAGTACGTGTTGAGAGGAGAATTGTTTTTGGTGGCTCGAGTGGCTTTTAGGGATCGGGACTGTGGAGATGGCTGCCTGCCAGAGA